GCAGGTCCAAGGGCCCCTGGGCTACAGAGTAAATTTCAAGGCCAGCATGGTCAACTTAGTGAGACCCTGTCTCAAAATCCTAAGTACAAAGAGGCCTGGGGATAAAGCTCAGTAGTAGAGCACTTGCTTAGCATAGACAAGACCCTAGGATCAATCACCAGAACTGGAGAAAAAGGGGAAGGGCAGGAGAAAATGAAGAGAATGAGGGTTTTAAAGACATCAAAGATGGCCAGAGGAGAACAGGCCAAGGTATGATACTGAGTTAAACAATGTGTGGGGGGTGCATCACAGAGTACAGATGACCCTGTAGACTTTGAAGAAATTTAGCTCTTGCTAGGCATGAGGGTGCACACCTTTAATCCTAGCACTCAGGGGGCACAGGCTGGGGGATCTCTCTGGGAGTTCCAAACCAGTCTGGTCTAGGGGTACATATGAGACCCTATCTCCAAAAAAAAAAGAACTTAGCTCTTATTCTGAGGGACATGATCAGATTACAGGCAGCACAGCACAGCACAGCACAGCACAGCACAGACACCGTGTGCAGACCTATAATCCCAGCACTGGGAAGGTAGAAGCAGGAGGACAGGAGCTGAAGGGCAGCCAAAGCTACATAATTCAAAGACAGTCTGTGATATCCACGAGGCCCTGTCTCAAGAAATTGCAAAACAGGGTCTGAAGAGATGGCTCAGCTGTTTAAAGCACTGGCTGGTCTTGCAGAGGACCCAAGTTAGGTTCCCAGCACCCACCTGACAGGTCACAACCACTGTAACTCCCATTCCAGGGAATCTGATGCCCTCTCTGACCTCCGCAGGCAGTGCATGCATGTAATGCACTTACAATGAATGCAGCAAAATATTCACACAGGCAAATCTCTATTTAGAGTTTGAGGCCAGCTGGTCTACACAGAATTCCAAGGCCAATCAGGGCTACATAATAAAACTCTCAAAAGAAAAAAGGAGGGAGGGAAGGTAGAAAGGAAGAGAAATTTTTTTAAAGAGAATTTTTTAAAAGAGGGAGGGGAGGGGAGGGAAAAAATAGCTTTTAGCAAACTAGCAAACCAAAAGGCTGAGGTTATGGCCCAACTGGAGCACTTGCCACTCAAGCATGAGGACCTGAGCTGGGATCCCTAGTAGCTCATGAAAAGTCCTGTACTCTCAGAGCTGGCAAAGTAGAGACAAGGAGGAGGATCCCTGGAGCTCACTGGCCAGCCAGCCTAGTCAACTGGTGAGAGACCCTGTCTCAAAAAATAATGTGGAAAAGAAATCAAGAAGGCCACCTGACATCAACCTCTGGCTTCCTCAAGCCCCCACAAACAAAAATATAAATGATCAGATGGACTGTAAGTAAATAAGGAACAGAAAGGAAGATAAAACATAGTTTGGACCAGAGCATGAATTATGTGAAACTTACATGCCGCTCTGTGCTCCCAAAGCTGTCGGCAAGCCCCCTTAACCATATTTCAGCATCTACAAAGCTGGCCTGAGGTGAAGAATTTTTTCCAATTTTAAAAGAAAAAGTCAGGCTGGAGAGAAGACTCAGCAGTTAAGAGCACTGACTGCTCTTGCAGAGGACCTAGGTTTGATTCCCAGCACCCACATGGCAGCAAACAACCATCTGTAACTCCAGTTTCAGGAGATCTGATGCCCTCTTCTGACCTCCACAGGCACTGCACAACATGGGTACACTCACGTACATGCAGGCAATATACTCATACACATAAAATAAAAATAAATTTTAAAAAATTTAAATAAAGAGAAAGTCTTGCAATACATATTCAGAATATAATGCTATATGCTGAGTGCACACACTGTAGAGAACACTTTAATGCACAACATTAAGCCATGATACAGCATATCTACTGAAATCTGGGGACATAACAGGCAGAAAGGGGGGAGTACATATGTACTACAGTACACACCACCTTTCTATTCATCTTCCTGCTCAGGTGTTTGTCTTTTCAACAAACGTCACAGTTCAGATTATTATACAGCTAATGGTAAAAAAATATTTGCTGATTAGGGGTAGAGAGATGGCTCAGCTGTTAAAGGAAGTTACTGCTCTTGCAGAGAACCCAACTTCAGTTCCCAGCACCCACATGCAGCTCACAACTGCCTGTTAACTCCAGTTTCACAGACTCCAAAACCCTTTTCTGACCTCTGAGGGCACTGCATGTATGTGGTGCACATACATATATTCAGTACACATGCACTCAGGCAAAACACTCATATACAAATAAAAAATTAAAATAAAATAAGATGAAATTTAAAATGAATAAAATAAATGATAAAAGTCTTGCCGGGCATGGTGGCACACACTTTTAATCCCAGCACTTGGGAGGCAGAGGCAGGCAGATCTTTGTGAGTTCAAAGCCAGCCTGGTCTACAAGTTCCAGGCCAGCTGGGGCTATGGGGAGATCCTGTTTCAAAAAGACCAATGAATGAATGAATGAATGAATGAATGAATCTTTAAAAAAAATTTGCAGGGCTGGAGAGATGGCTCAGCGGTTAAGAACACTGGCTGTTCTTGCAGAGGACCCAGGTTCGAATCCCAGCACCCACATGGCAGCCAACAACTGTCTGTAACTCCAGTTCCAGGGGATCCGACAGCTTCTTCTGTCCTCCGTGGGCATTGCACAACATGGGTGCACTTACCTACATGCAGGCAATACATGCGTACACGTAATAAATAAAATATTTTTTTAAAATATTTGCTATGTCAGAAGTGGTGGCATACACCTTTAATCCCAGCACTCTGGAGGCAGAGGCAGATGGAGCTCTGTGAGTAACAGGCCAGTGTGGTCTACATAGTGAGTTCCAAGCCAGCTAGAGCTACAGGGAGATCTTGTTTGAAAGAAACAAAAGCAAAAGAAAAATTGATGATAAAACAGAATCCACGTCACCAAGGACCAAACACAATCAACTTTTGGCCCAAAGAACCAAGAAACTTTGGAGTGACAACAGCCTAATAACAAAGGAACCTGTAAATCAAATATTAAATCCAATACTGACCAGAAGTTTTTGTTTTACCCTTTTAAAGTGAACTCATGGTTATTAAAATGAAAAGAGGTACCAGGACAAGAATTCAAAAGAAAAAATAATATAAAATGAAAGAACGGCTGGTACCAAGAAGAATGAATGACCACAAAGATAAGAAATGAGGGTCGCCATAAAGAGAACTATGCTGATTGTTCTACCTTATTCCAGGAGAAAAAAAAAATTAAAAACAGACTATCTCTTATCCTGGGATCCACTGACCTGGACTACACTAAAAACTCTTGATTCCTAAAAGAAATCTGTAACCCCTCAAAAGGTTAAGAATCAATGCAATGATGTTAGTTCATTTCCATTGGTAAACTTCCATGTACTGTAACACCACCATGTAGTAAAAACAGACACAGTACAGGACTACTACAAACTTGATTTTAAGGGTGTTCCAAAGGCATACAAGTAATTGAGACACAACACAAAAGGTCATGTAAGATTTCATTTACACAAATGACACAGTTTCAAGGTCAATATTATGTTCGTTCAACTTGGAGTCACAACATATTTGCAGTATTTTTAACAGAAAGCAGATTAATGGGGGGGAGGGAGGAAGAGGGTAGGGGATGTTAACTGCCTAATAGGTACAAAGCTTCCTTTAGGTGATGAAAATGTTTTGGGACTGAGCAAAGATGATTATTACATAATGCTATGAATACATTAAATGCTGCTGAATGCATGAATTTGACCTCAATAAGGAAAACTTAGTAATGAAAAGATTCCTTTTGTAACTACTACACAGAGAGAGAATATGAGAATGAATCATACATACCTTACACAGTCCCCTAATTTGAGACCAAAAAAAGGGATTAAATGGAACAACAAAGTCAGCACAATGTGGCTCGTGGCACAGCAGGGGGTGGTGCTTTGTTTTTCATTCTTACCCCAAATTAGGAGAACAGTGAAACAGTTATGAGTGCTGCCCTATATGACTAGACCTCAGAGAGGCTCATCCACTAGGATACATGTTTTGACAGCATGAAAGTTTGGGGTTTTGTTTTGTCTTGTTTTGTTTTTTAAAACCTCTGACTTCTTGGCCTCTGTCCTTAGGCTTTGTATGTTCAATGGCTACATCTTCCATATTCGTGGGGCTACACTCAGGGGGACAAATTATACCAGGGGAAGAAAACACAGCTATTGTTCAAAGCTTAACCTTACAAATCACTCAAATTTTTCTAAACAAAAGTGAATGTCAAAGTAAGCAATCCATCAAAATAACATAAAAATTCAAATCTACTGGGGAAAAGAATACCTTTAAGATTCAAGTACCACTTTTGTAAATTATACTACAAATTATTAATTCATTATGTCAATAACTAGAGAAAAACCCTCCTCTGGAGTGTCCATCAGTTCTGAAAAGTAACTGGGCTCAACACTCTGAATTTCTTTAGGAAAGCACTAACACCACAATATACACTAATCATAATCTGACTATGGAATCAGCTGGCTACGAGAAGTCAGTTCCATTAAGTTTGTAAATATTTACTGCAAGACATTTATGTTAAATTAGCATCAGCATTTTCAAGGTGACTATTATGTTCCGTTTGACTTCTTGGAGTCACACATTTTCGTGATATTTTTAACATCTGACTAAAGCCTCTACCATCACAAGATGCTCACACTGTTTACAAACATTAAACAGCAGCTGGTTTCCTCTCTTACATCTTGCTACAGTCAGAGAAATAATTTTAAATTCCAGGTACACACTTTCCCACAGATGTGTAAAAAGTTTGCTTTAACATAAAAGGTTTCTCACCAACTGAAGAGACATGTACCCAAGTAAATGTGGACATTTTAGCAGGAAGTTGGCAAGATCACAAACACAGATTCCTATGGCTACTTGAGCTGTCATGCTAAATGAGTTGAATGCTAAGTACCACTACTGTCCTTTCATTTTTCATGCCATTCTCAATGCCCTTTGTCATCTCATTCAAAATAATGCAGAAAACAGAAACTTACCCACACAAGCATTGAGGAATAGCCAATCAGTCTTTTTCATCCTATTTTTAATTTGCTTTAGTTTTTTGAAGTCCACTTCAAGCTCCTCTTTGCTACCAACAGCACCAGCCAACTCTATCCTCTGAAAATCCATTTGCACTTCAGAGTCTCGCTTTGTAACAGGAGGTGATCTTCTTTGGCTATTCCCACTACTGCAGCTTCCCCTCCACCGAGCTCTGTCTTGTTCATTGATTATTGAAGAAGCCTCTTCAGTCTCTGCCAACTCTATAGCTTCAATGTTGTTAGGTCTGGGATGATCACAAACAACACACTTTTTAGCCTTGGCCCAGTTTTCGTATGTGCAAATAGAACAAGTCCAATGCTGGGTCCTTGTATTCAGTTTATTTCTATCATTGTATTCCTCACAAGGATCAACAGAAAAAGCAACTGGTCTTGAGCCAGATCCTGAGGATTGAGGAGATTCTGTAGGACTCCTGGTCCTACGCTGAGATAAGCATTGGGTACACCTGATTGCTCTTGGCCAGTTCAAATATGTACACATGTGGCATGACCATTTATTTGCATTTTCTATGCTGTATGAAGACTTAACCCTTGGTCTTGCACTAGAGTCTGGACATATCAAAGGACTACTTCCACCCTCAGTACTGGCAGGATCCCAGTCTCTACCAATATCACTTGAACCACTTTTAAATGGATCTTCTGTAATAATTGTTCCACTAGGTCTCTGGGCACGACACATAGTACACTTGATTGCAGACGGCCAGTTTTCATACGTACAATATTCACAGGCCCACTTAATTCCACGTTCTGACATTGTGTACTTCTTGAAGTGAGTTATGTCAGGCAGGAAGCTATAAATAATTAGGATATAGTTATTAAGACAATAGTTACATAATTCCACCTCTAAAAATATGCCCAAAACACATGCACACTCTTCAACTTAGAAAATAGACATTTCTCAAAGAACACATGTAAAATTTCTCATCAAATTATTCTACTTTTTCTTCTGGGACTTCCAGAGACACTGGAGATAAATTCTCAAAGAAAGCTCCTAGACCTCACGATTTAAGGGAATTTTACTCTGGAATACAGAAAGTAATAAGCAGGAGACAAATACAGATGGGTTCTACAAGGGAAGAAGACAGAAACAGTGAAGTCATTAGTAGAAACGTTCAATTTCAGCTGAGCTATGACCATTAATTTAGAAAAAGTTAAAAAGACTAGAAGGGAAGGAAAAAACACAAGCCAAGAAGCACCTTAAACATATAACCATTCTCAAACTACAAACAACATAGATTATGCTATTTATAGTATGTCTGATTCATGAATTCAGAAGATCAAAGTCTTTTCTAATCATCCTTACTAAGGGAAAAAAGCAGCCTGAAAGTGCTAATTATTCACTGCTTTTAATTAGCATTAGCACAAACAGAAAAGACATTGAAGAGCACAGATCACAATTAGGAAAGTAACATTACAAAACAGAAATACTTCCCTGATGTTCTGTATCCTCAAAATCAAGCTATGTTTGGAACATAAAAGAAAAACTCCACATCACCTAGCCCCAGGAAATTCAGATGGACAGAACATGTCTGAGAAAACTCAGCAAATCATGCCAATATAATTCTGAATGTTCATATTTGATATTTGAAAAAATAAAATACACTCAAATTTCAATTTATGTTAAAAACATACTTGAAAGCCTGTTGTGGTGTCACATGCCTTTAATCCCAGCACTCGGGAGACAGAGGCAGGCAGATCTCTGCAAGATCAAGGCCAACCTAGTCTACATAGCCAGTTTCAGGCCAGCTGAGGCTACAGGGAGACCCTGTCTCAAACACAAACAAAAAAAGAACATCAAAACATATTTGGTATCTAGAAGTTCCTAGAAGCTGGGAGTGGTAGCACATGCCTATAATCCCAGCACCTAGGAGGCTGAAGCAGAAGGACCTTGAGCTGGAAGCCAGCTTGTGTTACACAGTGAGACAAATAGGTAAATAAATATTCCCAGGACTCTATAGTAAGGCTACCATAATGCTACAATGAAGACATCATTATGTAATGATAACTAATTCATAAGTGAAGCAATATACATGGCAAATTTACTGGTATTTGTAATAGCTTAAACTGGAACACTAAACAATCTCTCCATTTTTAAGTCCTTACTTAATTTACACCCCCACCACCTATTTTAATCTACTTAAAAAGGAAAAAATTACTAGGCCAGATATTTTTTCTCCTTTCCAAACCTGGAAAGCCAAATCACTTTTTAAGTGTATTATGTTCCTGCCTACCAAATCCACATCCCACATATAGAGTGAACTTCACTAAGCAACCAACTTCACCATTAAAAGGATGCTATTTAATAGCTAAAATTAAAAAAAAAAAAAAATCACACTTACAAAGATTTTAGATTCCATGCTATAACCACCTTGCACATGATTACAATAAAGGTAAATCAGACCAAAGACAAGATTCAATCTTCATGCTGGCTCAGACTCTGACTTCCTCAGGAGACACTGCAAAACGTGATAAGTGGTTCTGTCTGCCTGTGAATAGCTATTCCTGTAAAGGAGACCAAAACTGAATTTCACTTATAGCCTGCTAATTTACCAAAAAGGAGAAAGCTTTAATTTTAATCAATTCTATTTTAATTATACTTACTTATTTTAATAATGGGCTATTATATTTAGATTTTTAATTTAGCACAGCAATAAAAATAGTTAATTTATTGGGCTGGTCAGTCAACCATGAAAAAGTTTTTCTACATGTGTGTGCATGCACACAAGCGCATGAACACTAATGTTATCTCTCTGCTTGTTTTTTGGAGTCAGAATCTTAACATGAAAGTCCAGGCTGGCCTCCCACTCACAATCCTCCTTCCTCAGCCTTCCAAACGCTAAGGTTCCAGGCACGCACCACTACAGCCATCACTGTTACGAAGAGCATGAGCAGTGCAGGGTGGATTCTGATCTGTTCTTTTTTCTTTTTTGATTTCTGTATGAGTGTATGAGTGTTTTGCCTGAACGTATGTAGGTGCACCATGTGTGTATGATGCCTGCAGAGGTTAGAAGAGGGTATCAGATCCCCTGGAACTTGAGTTATGTATGGGTTAACCACCATGTGGGTGCTGGGAACCAAATCCAGGTCCTCTGGAAGAGCAGCCAGTGCTCTTAACCACTGAATCTCTCTCCAGTCTGATTCCTACCTGTTCTACTGAAAAGGAAATGATGAGATCATCCAAGTAAGTAGAAACACTGCTTAGCATGAAATATTTTTCTCTTGTAATTGTGTATGGGCAATTTTTTCCCTTTCTTTCATATCCAGGTAATTTCAATAATCTTGCTTGGGCTCTTTTTAAATGCATGTGTATGTGCCTGTGTGTGCCTTCACATGTGTGCAGGTGTGAATGCACTTGTGTACAGATCCATCTGGCAGCCAGGGGACAACCTCAGGTGTTGTCCTCAGGAATGCTATCTCCCTCCTTTGAGATAAGGTCTCTCATTGGTCTGGTGCTCACCAATTAGGCTAGGCTGGCTGGGCAGAGAGCCCCAAGGATCCTTAGTCTCTGCCTCCCCAGCATTGGGCTTACAAGAGATAACAACCACACCTGCCTTTAGGTGCTAGGAATTAAACTCAGGTCCTCGTGCTTGCAAAATAAATGCTTTATCAAGTGAGCCATCCTCCCTGGCCCTTGTTTAAAATTTCATACACACTGATTATAACAGCAATCCAAAAGTATGTCCAATGGCAGGGAACTATGGAACTATAATCATAAAGCATACATAAAGTAGGCAATAGAAATTTAGTGAAACTTTTCAAATTCATTAGGAAGTGTCTTCCTTCCATTTTCAGGAATGAGATGTGAACAGATCAATCATCCATGCTATGGGAAAGTATAATGAGTGTGGGGGACTTACCTAATAAGAACAGATGTCAGGCTGAGCACAAACCAAAGGCTACTATATAAGTAATTTCAGTATCTCATTTAAAATGTTTACATTCAAAAGTACATGCTAGGACTGGAGAGACAGCTCAATGATGAAGAGCACTGGTTGCTCTTGGAGAGAACCCTGGTTCAATTCTCAGGACCCACATGATGGTTAACAACCATCCCTAGTTCCAGGGAATTCGATGCCCTCTTCTGGCCTCTGTGGCCACAGCACACATGGGGCGCTTAGATATATGCAGGCAAAACACTCATACACATAAAATAAATAAACAAAAGGTTTTTTTAAATCCATGCTTGCTTTAATGCTTTAGGACATGCTATGTGTTCAACTAAACAGCTTGCTATTCACATTACTTTAGTTCATCTTCATGGAACTAATGCCTTGGCATAAAATACTAAAAATTTTCAAAGCTGATGAGTTGCCACTAAGAAAATAACCATATCAGCTTCATTTTATCTGAGGGACCTGTATGTTGTGGTAGTCTCCCTTCCTAGCCATGGAAGAGCAAAACTGTCACCATTTAATAGGTATCAGACTCTGACTTGCACAAGTAAAGTTCTTCACTGTTACAAAGCTGTGGGATGCCAAGTTTTGGGTGTGCTTTTATAAACTACTGTTAAAATGTTTCTAGAAAGAAAAAAAAAACACACTGAGGCAGTGAGATAGCTCAGCAAGCAAAGGTGCCTCAGTCTGACAATCTGAGTTCAATCCCCAGATCCCACATGATCGAGGAAGAAAACTCCCACAAGTTGTCCACAGACCTCCACATGCATGCAACAATACACCCATACCCAAACAATCACGCATACAAAAATGAATACATAAAAATGTAATTTTTTTCTTGGTTTTTTTAAATAGAGTCTCTCTGTAGCCCCAGCTGGTCTAGAACTCAACTATGTGGAACAGTCTGGCCTTGATCTCATAGAAATCTACCTGTCTCTACCTGAGTGCTGTGACTTTAAGGCATGCACCACCATACCTGGCTAAAAATATAATACAGTTTTTAAAATGTAAAACAATTATTACTTCAAAACTGGCTTTGGGTAGAACTGTGGTAGAGCACATGTTTCCCATGTGCAAGGCCCTGAGTTCAATTCTCAGCACTAAATAATTACCATCATGACCCTCATCTAGACTCCTGATAAAATGAGAAATAGCAGCCTAATTTTCCTGCCCATTATAACAATACAGGTAACTGAGTAATACCAAACCCAAGCCCAAGAGATTATCAGAAGACTGCATTGATGATGGGCTATAGCATCCACTCAAGGGAGTTAAACACGGTAGGAATACTGTATTTTAGTGACTTAAAGCTGCATTTCATTGAAGAGGATTATCTGAGATCCATTTTACCTGTGGCAATCAGCAAATGGAACGAAGAGTAAGGATAATATGTGACTTTACATTACAGAGAAGAGACCAGCATTAAGTATACTCTGTCTTCCAGATTTGTCACAACACACCGTAAGACATATAAAATTATTTTCATGGTCAGGTGTGGTGGTGCACACCTTTAAGCCCAGCAACTCAGGAGGCAGAGGCATGTGGATCTGAGATTGATGCCAGTCTGGACTACATAGCAAGTTTCAGACCAGCTGCGGCTACAGAGAGGCCCTGCCTCAAGGGAAAAAAAAAAAAAAATCCAAGTCAACTAGCTCTAAGAGTGCTTTTTAATATTTAGCTCATTTTTAATAACATGTATTGGAGGTGGGGGTATGAAATGCACATGAAGTAGTGCCTGCAGAGGCCAGAAGTGGGCACTGGATCCCCTGGAGCTGAAGGTACAGACTGTTGTAAGCTGAACAACCTAGTCCAGGGAAGCAAATTAAAGTCCTCTGCAAGATCAGAACATGCTTTTACTGGCTGGGCCCTCTCTAGTACCCAAGCCCTAAGAGTTAATGGTACATCCTGAAAAAGAACTGTAATGAAACATCACTTTAAGTTAATAAATTCCTAGAGCCAAGGCAATTTAACTTGTAAGTTTAATTCTTCATGCAACTTAAATTTCCAATTCTATCCAAGGACTCATACTTCAATTTATAGGTACATTAAAATATGCATAGTAGAAACTTTTTAAGGAGAAATGAACATAAATGCTGCTCTCAAGACAAATATTTCTTGGTTCAAATCTAACAAACAAGTCTAACCTGTGGAGAAATGACTCCAGGAATCAATCTGTGTATCAGCCTCTACCTATAGAATGAAGGTCTCCAATATTACTCATTTTCATTTTCTAGTATTAAATTCATATCTGCTGTTAATTATATATTTTCCAAGACAAATAAAGTAAAAGCACAAGAATTATGTTCCATATTATTAACAGCTGGGAATGGAGCTATTAATTATACATCTTCATGTAATCATGTTTAATAACTAGCTATATTTATGAAGCATTACTAAACACTTAGAAATATAGCGACACTGAATTCAATCCTCAAAACAATAAATACCATACCACAAAATGGACTCAGTGGTGGAGTGCTAGCCTGGCATGCACAAAAGCTCAAGCTTTGGTCACCTGTACCACTAAAAAAACAACAAAACATCAAAAACACACACATTATGTGCAAACGCCTTCAGAAACAAGATGAGATCAGCTCAGTTGCCAGTTAGTTCTAATTAATGAGAAACTATTCAAAGGAAAGACTAATTTCAGCAATCTTAAATGGTTTTAACTTTCCTAATATAAAGTTAACTATATGTAGCATACAGTTATTAATGTAAAGCTGTGGAGATTTACAAATGCTCACAGAACATCCTAGAGGATTACACGTGAAAACTAAAGAGGGAATTCTACAGACTGAACTTTCACTTCTCTTAAAATATTGCACAGTAACTGTGAATTACAAAACTTGTATGATTAAAACAATAAATGCAAGTATTGCTTAACTCTTAAGCCAAAACTCCCATAATAAATTTCTCTTTTCTCATCCATATTTTCCTACATCACTGTCTTCCTCCCAATAATCATTAGGAAAAACAACAGGACTCTGGAGGTATAATTAATTGGTGGTATAGTAAGATGAATCCACTATCTACAAATCTAATTCCATTGCAGGGCTCCAATAACTTATCAAATTCTCTAATAAACCCTGTCTTCCTCTCAAAACAAACTCCTATCTTGACTTCTCCGGTTTCCATTAAACACCATCCATATCCTTGCATCCAGGAGAGAAACTTAGAATCACCTTGAATCCTGCCTTCTTCCACAGATTCTTTCCAGTGGTTTCTATTCAGTTATTTGCTTCCCATCCCCACTGGCACCACTCCTTCCTCCGTTCAGGTTGGAACTACTCTAACGGCTTCCTAAGCGTCTTTATTTTCTAAATCCATTCAGTTGACTGTTACCATAGCAATCCTCTTTTCTGAAGCTTTCAGTAACAACATAAACTCTCAGCTCCCTGTAACATACATACTCCCCAAAGCACCACACATACCCTCAATCTCAGGCATGTGTCACCACTCCCAAAGATGCATGCATGAAGACACTTCCTCATAGACACCAGCACAACAGGCTCATCCTTTAAGTTAACTCTCCTGGCTTTCATAATCAGCTCTCAAATCACTCCAAAGACACTCCAAGCAATCACACTTTTACCAAAACATCAACTC